AACCCTGAGCCGGTGAGATTTGAACCGCTGACCTGCTGATCTAGCAGTAGCCTGCAGTGCTGCATTTAACCACTGCGCCACCTTGGCAGCTATAACTTTATGGGATGAATATTTCACTAATGTATTTTTAAAAGTACTGGGCTCAAAATAGACAGAAATTGTTCCTCACAGTAAAGTAGAACATTTCAGTTTCTTGTTGGTTGGCTCTTCTCTTGGCAATGTTTATTTTACTCATGTAAGTCTCGGAAGCAGCCGATTTGATGGATTCAGTTGAGCGGCTGTGCTGGAAAGCATCTGAGACATCAAAATCTTCCACGGTCAGCATGTCTTGCAGTGTCTGCATTGTGGCATCCAATGTTTTTCGCACCTGCGGAAAATGGATGTATAGAAAAGCAGAGTGAAAGATACAGTTCAGCACTATAAATGTATACCTTTTGTTACACTGACATTGTCTTTTTTAACAAATGCTTTCCAGAATTAGGCTCTTAGTTTAACAGGATGTTCTCGCTTACAAATGAAATATATATATGTATGACTCAGAGATAAGTAGGTTAATCTATCTTAAGGTTTATGTGGAAAAAGTATCATATCTGCATGCTGCTCGAAAAAGTCATAGCATCATGCAACCAGGAAGAAAAATCAAACAGAGCTCTTAAGAAATTCTTTCAATCATAAGGATTTAAAAGTGAAGTAGAAAGATGCTGTGTTTAACTTTGTACCATGAAGAGGTACAAAGTGTCATCTTCTCTACACTTACAGAGCCACTGAAACATACAATTTAATCAGAAGTGCCTGATCTCTTCCATTTAATTGTATACCACTGGATTTATAACCCTAGAGTCATGATGGCGAACCTATAGCACACGTGTCACAGGTGGCATGTGGTGCCATACTTGCCGGCACAGCAACTCTCAGCAGCTCTCAGCACCGGCGCACATGCCTGTGCCGGCCACCTGATTTTCAGCCTTCCAGATGGGCCATTGGAGGCCATTTTTGCCCTCCTCGGGCTTCAGGAAAGCCTCCAGAGCCTGGGGAGGGCGAAAATTCCCCACCATGCGCGATGGGGAGGGTCCCTCGTGCATGCACAGGTGGGTGTGCAGACACAATAGCTGGTCTAGATAGTCACTTATCTGAAATAGTATAGGTCTGTGACGGCACATGTGTTACAGTAGGCCTATGGCACTTATGGCACAAGTGCCAAAGGAGGCACACAGAGCCCTCTTTGCCAGCACACGAGCTGTCACCCCAGCTCAGCTCCACTGCACATGTCCGTGTGTCTCCCACCCAGCTAGTTTTTGGGTCTCTGCCGTGCATGCGTGTGGGGGAGGACCACATGTGGGAGTAACACATGCACACATGGGACAGGGGGGTTACAAATGCATTTGCAGGGGGATCACACATGCATGTGTGGGGGCACGCATGCAGGGGGGGGTCACCCACATTTTGCACTATGGGTGTGCACGCTTTTGGCACAGAACGACAAAAAGCTTAGCCATCACTTCCCTAGAGACATCCAGTCATAAACAACCCCTTCAGTAATGTTCACTTTACATCAAATGGAAAAGTTTTGTACACATAAACTGTTTCCTACATTATTTTTTGTTCTTGAAATTTCTCATCTGCTTCTTTTTTAGGATCAAGTAAATTCCATTCAATCATAATTCTCTCTGTCTTCTTTTTCTAGACTCATTTACACATTTGTTTTGCAATACAATCTTCGTTAATTCTCTTGAAAAACACCTCAATATACAGCACATATTTTTACTGGTGACTTTATTCTTGCAAATGTCCCTTGTCATTCATCAATAGATTTGCAGGAGCGCTTCCCAAAACTATATGAATGTTTCTAAATGTTTTACATAGTCCTAATACCTATGACTAATTAAATTTGTAAAGACTCTGAACTCACAAACAGAAATTTCTTGAGTAACAACAGCCTCAAAATGATCCACAATTATTTCTAGTTCAAACAATTAATAAAAAGCAGCATGTGTAGCAATACGATTACCAGAACCTCTCGAAAACCATAATAGATTAGTATTACTAGAATCATAGTAATGGAAATGGACATAACTCTAATGGCAAACAAAATTCCACAATGCTCAGCCACAGAACATAATATTACCCTGACAATATTGCACGGAATCCCTGTTCCCAATCTTCCTAAGATCAAGAGGGTATGAAAATGATTTTACAAATAAGAGTTAAATAGTAAGTTATGTAATTCAATGGTTCAATTATTACTCTTTGGAACCGATAAGTAAGATACAGTTTCGCCTCCTGGGATTTTAATTCAATTTTGTCAGGGTAATA